CTGTTGTCAGCCACCTTTAGCTGGAGTACGTACGCTGAGTTTGTTCTGGGCAAAGATTCCTTGGTTGTAGATTCCATCAAGTGTTACAAGCAATCCTGGACCGTGACGACAGTCTGCTTCCCACATGCCCATATACTTCTCTCCTCTACGAACACAAATGCAATATTTTCCACCTTTTCTAGAAATTGTAGGAAATCATCGATGACTTAAGGCAACACTTTGGTTCAAAGCTGCCAAAGCTGTCAACTGATCAAAATTTACACCCATTTTCGTTGCACAGTGGAATTCCGATTTCTCGAACCCTCATTTTTTTTACCTTCCAATAACTGAAACCAAAAGTCGTTTCTCCTCCTCAGTCAAACGCTATAATTAATTTTACCCCCGATTTCTCGAACTATTCGATTTGTCGAACCAATTTTCGTTTCCCTTGGAGGTTCGAAAAATTGGGATTCCACTGTATATCATTTTCCAAAGAAGAAAAAAATCTGAAAGTATGTAATGCAAGAATTATGCAATGGTCACTACAATTACAAAATGTTCATGACCCAACAGCGAGCGAGGCAATGATAAGTTTTTATTAAAAAAACTTTGACTACTGTAGGTTCACCTGCATTCCTTTTTCAATTTATCTACAGATCAAAAAGATGAAGAAAGCAGCATAATCACAGATTACGACAACTTCAGAAATATGACATCTCTGAGTGTGGGTGGGACATTTGATTCACCCTTTGACCCTTCACTCGTTCAATAGCTTTCTGTTAATGTTTTAATGATTCCACTGACTAGTGCATCAAAATATCACAGTTGCTTGCAGACCACTTGCTGAGGTGGAGGGATACAGCCCACCAAGGGTTTTGCGTCAGTGGAAATATTCATTTAGACAGTGGACAGTGTGTGTGTTTTTTAAACTTAAAGCTCAAGCTGGTCAGCCAGTTCAGTGGAAGCTGAATAGCAGCCATCTCTAGACAGGTTCTGATCAGTTGATTCATCGATCAACTACACGCCGGAGACACAGGCTACAGATACAGACTCACACTACTTGGGATTTTCAATTTTTACCCCTGGCTAGCCATTCTCAATATTCCCAGCCACAGTCTTTTCACCATGGTGACTGTAATCAAATAGCTAGCACTTTCCATGGTTGGACGGTGACATTGAAATTGTGAGTTTGACAAGGTAAAAGAGCTATTGTTTTCTTGGGTAAGAGTTACTGCCTTAGGTGAAGCTGATTCACAAACAGACTAAAGTGGCTTTCATGCTCAAGCAAGTGTACTGAAGCAACACCCCACTCCGTACTCAACATTGCCTGTAAAGTGCACGCCATCATTGACTTTTAATCCTAGCTACAAAAAGATGCTGAATTCTTGCGTACTGAAGGGTTGAATTAGGAGTACCCATGAATATTGCCCAATGAGACCAGATACACATCACCGCAGCACTCAAAAACAACATGTAAATGGACTAGAGTTACCTGAGGATGTCATCTAAAACTCCGTAGCCAGATCTCTTGTCACGAAACCATTCTCCAATATAAAGTGAGGAAGATGTGCCAGATTTCATACTTCCATGGCCAGAACGCTGACTATCACACCAGTGACCCACATATATGTCACCACTGGAAAAACTGCAACAGCAAGGGCAACAATCACGCAATTTTTAAGAGTAATCCTTTTAAGACAACACTAGTGACAAAGTTACCATGACCTATATCTTTTCCTGTGCTGTGGAAGTAAAGTTAGACAGCATCTATACACCATTCCTAGTACTGTTGCAGGTAACTGCCATTGAGGTAGCCCATTCATAAACATAGGAAGTCAGTGTTAGATCTTATAAGGGAAATGAGTAATGCAAGTCTAGCTTAACATTTTTTGATCGTGTTATGTGTGAAAAAATGGCTGAAAACATCTCTTTATTGATCTTTTTCTGCAGAAATACAACAGAATGAAAATGAAAATATTCAGACCCCATATAACCAGTGTAACTTTATATGTGAGTGTGGCACTTGCTTAATAGAAAAGAGTCTGTTGCCCGTTTTAACAGGTGCTCTTATCATTAGTATTCTTATCAGTATTATTAATACTTTTAATATGTATTTCGCAGTGAACTGAAATCCCACATGACAGGACTAGAAAAATTGTTCATTTATTTTACTTATTTTCAGGCTATGACTGGATTTAATACGTGATGATCTGGGGCAGATTTGTTCTTTCGTTATCTCTTCATGATCTTCAGCTTATCTTTGTAAACAAAAGGAATGGAATGTGCCATTTGTTTCAGCACTCATACATTGGGGAGGAGTGTGTGATAAGCCATTAGAATGCCTATGGAGGATGCTATCACACAGCCAGCTAGAGCTGCAGTTTAGTCTGCAAGCATTTTCACTTACAAGTGAATAGAGTATTGTTTTCCCGAAACCCTCAATGTTCCCCGAGGCTTGTGTTTGTTGCAAATTTAAAGCATGCTCTGATTGGCTAATTCTAAGGCATTATTCTCCTGTAATGTCCATGGGCTGAGCAATAGCAAGATTAAGCACAAAAAAGAAGGAAAAAAGAGTAAAAAACAATTACAAAAATTGGTTTGATAGGGAGATAAGACTGAACGGAATAAAACAAGTTAATATTAGGTTGGAAGTTGATTCCAGGAACTCCATTTGGAAGCCAGTCAATTTTTCTCTTATCAGATGCAGAAAGCCATTATTTTATCTCCCAACTAGTGTGCATAGCAGGAAAACAATGATTCATGCAGGGCAGCAAAACTTGGGCAGCACAAAACATAGTGTTTGGAATCTTCAATAGCAATATCACACAGAGCATAAACAGATGATACAGAGCAATTTCTCTTACAAAAGGTCAGAATTTAAGGCACTAAAACTAAGCACATCCCCAGTATAAAATGAATAGTTATAAGATGGAAATTTCATGCATTTAAAAACATTGTGCCCAGAACTACTGGGTGAAGAGGACAGAGGGACCTCAGAGGCCAGGGAAGACTGGTCCACAACTGAGTTGTTTAAAAAGAAAAGATTTCTTATGCCTTTCAGTCTGAGCATGAGATGAACAGAGATCATCATCAGAGCGACGACTACAGCATGACCTCTCACTAACAAAAGTAGCACAAGAATTGCATAATAAGTGGGCAAGCGCTACTTGTATTTATGCTATCATGCATCTGTTCAGTAACAGATTACAGAAGACGGCAAAATGTGGTGAGAACATCAGTGACACACTCGCCTAATGGCTTGTGTGCCACTTCTTTGTTCTTACCACGTTTTGACATCACCTGTGATCTTTTGCTCAACAGACGCCTTGCAACATGGAGTCTGTTTGTTAAATAGGTCACATCAATTTGTATTAGTTTGAATGAAATGTTAGAATTAAACACAGACAAGTAGCCTTTCCCTCATATTCAGTAAGCTATTCTGAATAATAAGACTGTAGACTCTCATGAAGCACTTAAGGTGGCTTGTAACAGTTTTTACGAGATTCAGTAGCACACGCTACATTTGCCTGCCAGAGGTCAGTATTAGTCGCGCATGNGAATAAATGTGGCTGGACAAGGCCAGCCTAAACATTTAAACATTCAACCGCATGGCCAGTACCATGCTTAAAAAACGCAGCGTATCGGATCTAAAAAGATTTAAATTTAAGGTTTTTGATACTCTTTCTTAATTAGCAAATACAAGAAAGGCCAAGTGTTCTCAATTAGTAAATCACCTGTGGCCAGCTAGATGACTTGACACTTGGATAGGTGGTCAGGATTGATTGATTGATACGTGACCTGACAATTTTGAACTGAGATTTCCCACAAGTGACCACTTTTGCTCAAAAAAATGGAAAGCCACATTGTCCTCTATGTTGCAATGAAGAACTGCAGGTATTTACCATGTGTTCACTACAACACAAGGTTCTCCAAGTTCAGTCCACCATGTCTTCAACTCCTTAATGTTCACTAACTAGCTCCAAGAGACGAAGGAACAACCAGCTGGTATTAAATTATTCTTAAATATTCTGTTAATAAAATCCACTCACCCATGCTGTACACCATGTTTAAATTCTCCTGTGTAGTGTCGACCATCCTTCCAATGCATTTCACCACTTAAATCAAAAGAAAGTGTGAAATAGAACTTAATTCAAAATGCTTCTTATCAGAAAAGTAACCCTTCCTCAAATCTAAATGTAGCATACATATGCAATAAGGTCTTTCCTTTCAATTTAGGTTCCAGCTGGAGCTCTAGTAGGTATCAGCTCACCATGTTCAAACCTAGTTCATTAATTTTTTCTTCTAAACCTAGCTCATTACTACTACTACTGTCCAGTAGATGCTGGTGGTCTCTCATGGGAAGGCTTCATAACAGAGAGTGGTCCACATGTTAATCCCTTGCACTAGTGAAAGCAACTTTTGCTTGCGTGACAAATGCCAAAACATCTGCAGTCAATTACATTGTTTGTTTTTTTTTATTTGTTAAATCGTTTGGGGAGTTGGGGGTCTGTATGACTCCAATATATCGATTTACATGTTATTGACAGGCTTCAATCTATTAGCTCCACACCACACCAATCACAGACTCTGTTCACGGACGAATGGCATTTCTTGAACAAACAGCGACTGCTGGCAGGCGTATTTTCCCTTCCCCTGCCCCTCCCCCATTACTCCTCTGACCTCATGTACTTTGTTGACAACAAAATGACGATTTCTCTGAGGCTAACATTCTCCTCAATAAAGGTAAAACAGTGTTTCAGAAGATCACAATCTTTAAAGGAACACTGGTCTGGGTTCCTCATACCACTCTCCCAGGGGTGCTGTACCAAGGTAGCCACCTGCTTCAAACCTCATTGATAGTTAAGTATATTCTTTCTTTACATAAACTATGAATTTAAATTCATAATAGCTTACTGTCCATGAGGCTTTCCCTGTAGCCACATTCCATGAAAAGTAGCTCCTTGGTAAACAGAGTCATGCTCATATGTGTAAGAAGCTTCTCGAGCCGCAGCTGGTGCTAGACTTCCTGTTGCTTTATTGAGAGACTCTAATCCAAGTCTGTGTTTAGAATGACCACAAATACAGCACATTACAATATAGAAACGTTTTACCTCAAGGTGTTATTATTTCCTAGTGCCAAATAAGGTGTGCCAAAATCACTTGGGTTGATCATTGTGACACTAGATATTCAACATAAGGGGTCAAAGCAGCTACAACTGCAAGTGGCTCATGACAGTTTACAACAAGTTCTGGCCCTTTTCCTGTAATGTGAAAGGTTAGTATGGCAATAGTATACCTGTTAAAAACAATATTAATTTTAATTTTATGGGCTTACAACTCAAAATTAGTCCAGGTACCCCCATTTTCTAGTATCGAATTGTGATTAGAATGGTAAAATGCATTTTTTTCCCAAAGCATTCAGAACCACTTATTGTTGAAATTTTTGGACAATTTAAGGGGGGCTCTGGATTTGCTCCCACAATGTTGGAAAAAAGTTGAACCTTGACAACAACAACAATAGCAGCAGCAGCAGCAGCAGCAGCAGTAGTAGTAGTAGTAGTTGTCGTACTGAAACATTCTGGAAACCAGCACAATGATACTTAGAAACTCATAACAGTGGATGTATCAGAAAAAGAGCCCTGTGGAGAGCCAGATTAAAGGAGGATTAATGCAGCTATTGAATATTGGCTGTTTTTAAAAGACCTTTGTCCATTCCTTTTTGCACCAGTTAGGCACAAGCAGGTGCAGGCATTTGTTGACCAAGACAGATTAACTGAACTTAACTCTACCTTTCCCACTATACCTTCATTGCACTATTAAGCTGCACATCTCCCAGTGACGAAAAGAAGCATTTGGTGCAAGTAACATAGAGCTGTAGAAGTTCACACAAACTCTACCAATTACTTTAGAGTATTTAACTGCTCTCACCTGTATGTTGTTGTCTTGGAAATCACATTGGCAATTGCTTGATTGATAGTTATCAACCAATCAGCCTAGAATATAAAGTACCCAGATAAGAGGTAATCTAACTGTGTAACTAAAATAACAGGACAAAATCGTTGAACACTTGCAGGAGTGCATTTTTCTGACCACTAGAACTATAGTTTTGAGGGAAAAGTTCGATTTTTGGTAAATTGTAGTTTTGTGTTAAAAGCTTAGTTTTGAGATTGAAATGTAGCTTTTGGGTGAAAACATAGTCTTCAGAATATACATGCACCTCTTGGAGAGGCTGATGAGGACGAGGACATGGTTTTAATGTGGCAGCACTGCAAGGGCATCTTTTGAAAGATACAGAGAGGTACTGGGATACCTGGAGACCCCAGGCAGGAGTGGACAAGCGAAGATAGGAGGAAGAGGATTGAAACTAGGAGAGAAGTCAAGCAAAAGGTGAAAAGGGAGAGATGCATGGTAAAGAAAGGAATGGCAAATGGCAAATGTGAGACTTTACAAGAAGGTGAGACTGGTGTTTTTCTTTACTAGCTGGACATTTTGACTTTTTAAATTGTAAGACTGAGGCTTCAAAGTGGTTCAAATGCAAACACAAGACATTCAGGCATCATTCATAAAAGCAAACAAAGAGATCAGAACTAAAATCAGGACTCTGAGACAGCTTTGAAAAAAATTGAGATTACAAGACCTTAGCGTGCTAATAATGTGTCAGTGATTGTGGGCATTGGTGTGCTTTTGGTAAAAAAATGTCAAACTACATCTACATAACACCTTGTCAGGGATGTTAAACATCTCTCTCACTAAAATGTAAAAATCATGAATATGTCTTACTTTATCAACTGTTGATGGAGCACAAACGAGCAAAATCTCTTCTGGTGTTGTTATTTTAATGCCATTCCTGAGGTGATAGGTCACAAAGGTAAGTCAACAAGAGTAACATGTTCCATACACATGTAGCGTGGGAAGAAAAACAAAAGTATAAAGTTGTAATGATGACATAAAAAGTCAACTTGACATGATTGCAGCTGAAACTGGTTAAAAAATGAACGACACCTCAGCCCCAAATGAAAATACACACATGCAAACATACACACTGTGAAGATTATTTCTCAATCGAAGTTCCTGTATGTTCATATTCTACAAGGAAAAACCCAAGCTGACTATACCAAGTCAAAACAAACTGGGAGGACCTGAGTGGCTACCACATGACATGTGCTGTACATTGCACTCTAGATCTGCACTATTCAAGATTGACTCACTAGTTAATAATGTGTACATTTTTTTATTTAAACATATTTGTCATTGTTTTCCTGCAAAGCACCTAGGCTTACATCAAGGGGGATTACAGTATTACAATTTTCACTTATTTATTCTGTGAGGCTCACACTGTGAGCAATGTGTACATGATCATATCTTTAACTCACTTGACTCCTTCTGTGTTATCAATGCCTTCAGCCCACACAGTGGTCAGCAGAAAGGCTTGAAAGTTCTTGGAGGACTAATTAAATGCAAATTGACAGTAACAATATATGTCAATTTTTTTTACATAAAAATAAAACTCATTACAATAAGCATCATATCATGGGGATGAATATATAATGAACTCACAAAACAACACATACTGATAACTGCCAAAGTTGCAAACCATGCTGCAATATATCTCTCATGTTTTTATGTCTTTACTCAGTATTTCATATGTGTCCTATGTTTAGTCACAATATTTTGACTATTTGCTGGTATATTACATGTATGAACTCACAACATATATAACCATGCAGCTCCCTGAGTTGGCTTGATAGCTCACTTGTTGATCATGGGTTCAAATCCCATTCACACCTTAATTTAGGTTTTCAGGCTTTATTTTCCAATCTGCCCAAGTTGTAGCATACATAGCTTCAATAATCCAATGATCTCTCAAGTCTTTACTTGTACAATACAGTTGCTACATACATCTACTACATATGAGTAACATACCTGATAGTAGACAAAGAAGTCATCAAATAAAACATAAAGTGGTGTTGAAAACCTTGTCCCTTTTGCTGGAAAAAGACTGTGTACATTGCTGCTTCTCAACAGCCGTCTGTGAGGATGCTTGAAAATCTCCTTTAGAGAAAAAGTAAGTATTATTTTAGTATTACTAAAAATAAAAGGTACAGTGCAGGTCAGAGTTCAATGAACCTAAACACTACTAGTGGCATTGTCACAAAGGTTTGAAGTAGGCATCCTCATTGTTGGAAAAGGTGGCTTATGTTGCCTTCTTTTTCTAAAATAATTGGATGGATAGCCCATTTATTTGATCATGCCAGCTACTCTGCTAGTGATTTTCTCTGGTAGCCAGCTATTTTTGACAACCCTTCACTAGGGCTAGTGAATGGTTCACGTTGAGTAATGCACATAACGTACATAAAGAATGAAGGAAAATTGGAAAACCAAGACCCTCTTGCAAGTTTCATGTACACATACACGACACACATTTTTCTGTCATTTCTGGAATTTCCAGAACCAATTCTTTGTTACACTCAACAGTAATTTCCCTCCAGTCAACTGACCAGAGTCATAATGGACACAAGGATATTGGGGACCTTCTCTGATACCTCTGTAAAATTAATGTTTGTGAGAGTTTAAATTAAAATTGAATTGAATTGAATTGACCTTTGCTGCATTCTTATGCAGGGATTCTTTCCGTTCCTAATGCAAGATTCCTGTGTAAGGATTCTTTGTATTCCTAATGTAACTTCCTCTAAATGGTGATACTGGCAACTTGCAGGCGACATAAGACAGGCATAAACTGTTGATTTGACAGTGGTTTGGGCTATTGATTTTGGAAAGATGAGTTTCGACCATGCTGAACAGTTTCGAGACACTCTATTTATTCCTTTTTCACAGGACTGGCATGCAGACCTTGGCAAAGTTCAAGCATTTGTGACAGGCTTTTAAAGGGTTTATTTTGCATATGAACCAAGTCACCCATCAGGCCAGCACTTACAGTAAATCCTCAAATTAGTGCCTCCCCTCAAATAAGCACCCCCTTCTGATAAGTGCCTCTCCTATTGGCCAAAATTTCAATTTGAAATAAGCGCCCCGGGAGCTAATTTGAGGATTTATGCTATCTCCCGTTTCAGTAGCTGGATGACATGCTAGTCTATCCCTGGGTTACCCCACAGCATTGCAGGTACCCATTTTTACACCTGGGAGGAGAGTGGCACTGTGGGAGTTAAGTGTCTTGCCCAAGAACACAACGTGATGTCCCTGGCCAGGGCCTGAACCAGGACCGCTCAATCTGGAGGTGAGCACACTAACCATGAGGCCACCATGGTATAAGTTAGACCAAATCATCGTGCTACTTGTGTTAAGGCTTGAAAGCAACAAATTTTTGTGAGATCAGGCCAGCTGGGATTGGACTGGTAATGATACCAGGTATTTTGTAACATCTTTAGGAGCTGAATTATTCCTTTTTTATAGGAATCACAATGAGTCAATAACAAATTAATGGTAACAATTAATGCACCCTTTCCGAGAATCAGAAAACAGCTATAAATCACAATTTAGAATTGATTGCCAATAAGGGTCAGATCGGGCCAGGTTGGGTCACATACATGTATATGTGTATTCGTAAAAAAATATCAGCAAAGAAAATGCACTCCTGTTTACTTTAGCCAGTGTTACGCTTAAATGACACTCACTTGGTTAGCAATGAGTTTCTTTACAATCTAAAACAAGTGACATCAGCCTGCCCAAAAGGCCTTTGATTTCTCATTATGACTACAACTTCTCACACAGCTATCACTTATGGAATTAGTTATGAAATCTTTCTAAATAGTGGTAACTTACAGAGACTTTGGTAGGGCAATCACACCAAAACTTATGAGTACGCTCAGCTTCTGCTTGCCTATTTTCATCCTCAGTGATAAATTGTTCCCATCGTTCAGCCTCTTCATGTAGTCTTGCACATTCCTCTATGTTTGCCTGTGCCAGGAGAATGAAAAAAAGGATGGAATGAAGAAAAACTCATTTCTATACTTCCCTTTTGTGTGTCAAACACAGTTAACACTTCAGTTCAAATTGCTGTGGTTCAATACTGATTGGCTCAGTTTTAATTCATATAATTACTCATAAATTGTGTTGATCTCATGGAAAGAAAAAAGTGTGGCTAACCACACAGTTTTCAGGGCTTATTTGGGGAGGAGTTAAATGCATGGGCAGATCCAGCATCCCAAACGTGGAGCCACCAGGGGAATACCAGGCAACAAAAGCCCCGAGAAGCATTAACTGGACCTGTCATGGCTTCTCCCTATCCAAGGAGACATAGATTCAGCTGTTTCTAATGTAGCTCTACTTACAATTACAGATCCCTTTGCATTAGGTGCAACCCTAGTATCAGTCAAGAATTGAATGACAAACCTGCCAGCAAAACCACAGAAACCCACTTCAACTAGATAAATACAGCATGTCCACCCTTGATCTTCACACTGACTCTTTAGATCTGCATACTAGCGCTGGGCCATTTTCCTCTCATATGCCTGCTATATGCTGCTCTCCCATGGTAAATTAGCTCAACCGACAAAACAGTCTTAAGACTGTCAGTCCACAGTATTAGACCAGGGTGAAGAGAGGTCACAGCAATCTGAGGCAGACAAAACCAGGGGCCGACAGCGTTGATCCGCTAACACCCTCCAGTCATTACAGCTTGACACCATAGTTATTACAGTGCCTTCCTGGCAGACTTCTCCTTGGCCCTTTCACCTTTCTTTACAAACAAAATCCCATCTCAATGAAACATACACCTTGTCTTGACACTGGTTCTCAACAGGAGAGACCAGGACTTCTAACACCTGGTTATGCTGCCAGATTATACTGACAGCCTGGTTTCACACCCAGCAAGGATGCATTCCAGAGATCCCATCTTACCACAACACTTACAAACCTTTGAATCACTCAGCTCCTAGTTGCACAAGTTGACAAGGGCTGGCAAAAGGTCATACACTGAGCCGATAGGAACATATTGATCCTCAGGGGTTCCACTGACAATAGGTCTGACCACTTATCCTGCTCATTCTCAGCTGCCTCCCAAGTGGTAATGTAACCTGCAGGGACTGTCTCACTGCAACAGAATCCTGCCTCCTATCCTCCATGCCTTCAAGCTAATCAGTCACCATATCACACCTCACCAGCTAATTCTTCTAAGACCACTGAGTGCCTTTTACCCTTGCCAAGCCCCTCCTTCAGTTTACCCTCAGCCTCCTCAACAGTCTCTGCTACAACCTCTTTCTTCCCAGTTAGTGCATCAAGGGACATGGATCTAACCACAGGATCAGCCCACAACATCAAGTAGAGCTGCGCATTAGCATCCTTCCACTCCTCCACTCATTAGGAGCTGGAGCTTTGATGTGGAGCTATACAGCGCCATGTTTGTCAAGGTCTTTGGTACACCAAGCCACTTTCTGAGGTAGCTTCCAAAGCTTAGTTCCATGATATCCACTTAAGTCATCAGTCATTTCATACACATGTAGTGGCCACATCTGTCTGGGAAATAATCCCAACTGAAAGCACCAGGCTTTTGTCTCACCAAGGAGGTCACATTAGTCTATTGCACCATGCCCTTGTTCCTTTGGCCTCTAGATCCTCTATGCCCGTCTGTCAGTGGGCAGGAGTGCTATCTGCCAAGCCACATCACACAATACCAAGGATCGATATTCTCCCAATATGGTTCTGAGCAGGCTAGTTTAACCCATTGGCACCCCGAGTTTTTTGGCAAAAATGCATTTTTTGGACATTTTGGACATTTATAGCCTGGGTATGAGCAAATTAGCTCCAATCTACTCAAAAAGGCATGTGCAACATGACAGCATCAAGGTTTATGACACTTTTACGTGGACATGCACAGAAATCTAGCTACTAGATTTTTGTGCATGAGAAAAACAACACAGATATAAGGTATTATGAATAAAATTAAACTAAAATAATCGTAAGTATAATAACATGACAGCATTGTGGTTTATGACATTTTCACTCAGACATGCACAGAAATCTAGCAACTGGATTTCTGTGCATGACAAAAACAACACAGATATAAGGCATTATGTGCAAACTAACCATAACTATTAATAGTTCTTTTAGTCATATTTTCATCTTTTAGCCTTGGGTAGTTTACTTTAGACAATTCAGGACAAGACTTACCTCAGAAATTTCTAATGTGCTGTGCAATTTTGTCACAATTAGTTGGTAATGCTGCATCTTCAACAGTGGAAATTGCATCATATACTGAAATGCATTGTCATAACTCACAAAATCCTGAAGCAAAGGAGAATTATTTTATAAGTAATTAATAATTCTTATATTAAGTGCATGCGCAGCACATTTCATGTTCATAAAAATTAATAATTGACAGCAGCATAACACTGACATCAGGTGAACACTTAAACCTAGATCTACTCCAAAAGAGTACTGGAGAGAGGGAACCATGACTGCTTCCCTTGTTTATTGCAAATTACACTGTTTTGGATGGATGTTATCAAGCAAACTGTCATACCACTTCTGTTGGGTTGTCATATTGTTGTCAAGGATTTCTCCCTGAGATACACTTAAGTTTGATTAGTTTCATGTGATTACATTACAATATTAATATGAGAACATGTGCAAGAAACAAGAAAATATCATCAGTTGTATAACAACGCTTTTTACCCCACTTTGTTTGGAACTTGACTGCTCTTAAAAAAATGTGTTTTTAATCTGGTTATTTGGGAACATAATAATTATTGTTTGGGCTGCAAGCAGATTGTAATACAGTGGAAGCTTTCATGTCTTGTGGGTGTCTGCGTACGAGGGCCTTTACCGTAACTTTATTAGCCAGGTGATATAAAATTGCCAGTGAAGATTCCTGTTCCTGTTCAACTCACTGACTTCCGGGATTATGTTTCCCAAAAATACAATAGCCATTGAGTAACACCAGAAGCTTCTTATACTCCATTTCTTCGGCCTTTAATTGTTTCATTTTCTCTCTTTCTTTCTTTGGTTCGTCGGTTCGTTGGTTTGTTGGTTCATTGATTCTTTCTTTCTTTTTTGCATTTTGTAGTTGGTCTCTTTTTTCTCTTTGTTTCTTGGGCCTTACAGTTGCCTTTAATTTGTTCCTCTTAGAAAAGTTTTCAACAGAACAACAAAACTGAAAGTGTCCAGGGCTAAGAGGTTCCAGTTTGTCTTCATTTTTGTATCTACGTCTGGCCCAATCATCCTATTGTGCTTGTTTATGCAAGCTTTGAAATGGGGTTTCCTAGTTTATCTGCTAATGATCAAATATAATAATTATTTAATTGGTGTGAAAGGTAATGACTGCTTTTGGACAGTTTAGCAGTCAACAAATAAATGACACCAGTACCAGATGACTTCCGCAAATTGAAGGTATAGGACTGGTTCATCTGAATAGTCAGACTCAGTCAGTAGAAGGGTACAATATTTGAAAATTTCTTGTTTTATTTAATATATGTCTATTTGTGTCTGTATTTTGTAACACAATGTAACGGATTAGATTAACCATAATAATCCTCTGTTTGCCTAATAAATAGAGGCTACAGAGTTATGCAATACATTAGGCAGATAGTGTAAAGTAGTACTGGGACTGGGTAAAATATTATTATATGGCAAATATGGCTCATTACCTGTGTTGTATCATCTAAGATATCACTCAAGACAGCTCTGCTCTGAGATGTTATATCACTAAAGAAAAGACAGACAGAGCAAAAATTGACTAACTCAATTAATAAAGTAATATTAAGATCAAACTGATCTAATGAAAGCCATTAAGATTACTAAGCAGTCACTTGTCAGCAATCTATGCTCAATCTCTTACAAAATGAACTTAAGTAAAAGCCTAAGTTTGATATACAGTATTAATTAAAAATGCTATCACGGCACCAAGGCATAGAGGTCCAAAACAAAAGACCCTGATTTCTTTTGTTTTTCCCTTTTTGTCCACAAAGCCTCAGAATTCCTGTTGGAATTTTAAATAATATAGTTAAATATAATTTAACATAGTTAACTACAAGGAGTAAGAGGCCTGACATGAAGTTTTGTTTCAGTGCTTGTAAATGTTGAACTTCAACTGCAAACTTCAACTTCGTTCCATTTCAGCCACTGTAGGTCAAGAGATTTGATATTTCCAAAATACTAGGACTGATTGCTACATGTAATATTTGCTGTACTTCTTCTTGCAAATGTTAATCTTGGCTACATTTGTCAACTGCGGACATCATGTTAACTACTCTGGTTGGCAATGTTTTATTCCGTGAACACACAAAACAATAATGATGGATGTTGAGGTGCATTTACAAGTTTTTATACTTATCTAAACTTAAGAAGGTTATAGAAACTTCTCTGCATGTAATATATCAGGGTTTACAGGACAATGCAGGCTACTTAACAAAGAGACCTACAAAGAGACCTACTCCACAATTTTTTGCATCACAAATTTCCTTCTTTGTGCAGAGTAAGAGATGAAGTTTAGCCTGCAAAAATACCCTCTTTCTTGTGTATCTTGTGTTTTTTTCACAATTTCATAAGAAATCAAAATTAAATGCCTTCTCCAATTAAAGAGCAAAAGAACAAAATTTTGAAATTTTTCACCGCAATTTGTTAACAGTACCATTAAATGAATACATGAAGGAACCATAAAATGTCTTGTCCAAAAAGTTCTCAGATGCCATTGGGTAGCAGATTTTCAAAGTGCTTGACAGTTTTGTGAACATTTGCTGAGGATTCAATTATTAACTGGAACTTTTTGAAGATATTTTGCACACATCATCTGTTCCCAACATTTAAACAAGGACTTCCACAGCTCTCAAAATGTTTCACTCATATTCATACTTAAAACTACTGTCTATCTGTTTACCTCCCATAAGCTTACAGAGTTCCATAAGAAATTATGTGATAAATTATTTGTATATGGCCCCATCTTGCTCACTTGCATAGCCAATCACAGTGCAGGATTTGGTTATCTAAATAAATTGACATAATATGTCATAGTTTGCAACACTATACCTTGATACATTTGAAAATGCTGTAAACACACCAAATGCCACACCATTGCTAAAGCATTCAGAAAACCTATCAGCAAAGATAAGAGTTCATGCCAGTTATAATAACTAAGGTAGGTTAAGGCAACGTCTGCTTAGGAGCCAAGTGGCTCATCTGGCCAGAACTTATCCCAGTTTCAGTAGCATGAAGTGACTAGGAGTATTTCTACTCCCCCCTGGATGGGATGCTAGTACATCATAGGGTTACCCCCTTGCAATAAATTCGCTGGTACCCATTTACACATCTGGGTGGAGAAAGGCACTGTCAGAGTAAAGTGTCTTGCCCAAGAACACAACACAATGTCCCTGGCTAGGGCTTGAACCCGGACTGCTCACTCCAGGGTCGGGTGAACTAGCCATGAGGCCACCGCACCTCCCACTACAACTAAACCTGTCTACTATATTGCACCTTTACTGTCTAATTTCCAACATCAAAGTTACTGTGCTCTTTCATAGGACTTGGAATATCTGTAAATCATTTCTTTCCACACAAACTATTGATTTATTTACTAATTATTTATTTATTGAGCACACTGATGCCTGTGCATCTTAAGTTTGGAAATCACAAGTTCTACATCAAGGTTTTTATTGTTATTAAATTTTCTTGGTTACCTGTGTGTCAAGCTGGATTAAGATAATTTATGGTATTTGATATGACTTATTGGATATGCTAATTTATAGAAAATTCACTTGTTAGTTCTGACTATCTGCCAACCAAAATAATAAGGAAAAAAAATGCTGTTTGAAGTATTATAATTATAACATTTTAACAGCGGGAGTTTTTAATTATTTGGTGTTTAAGATCAGAAAATCAGATAGGAAATCGAGAAATTTTAGCTTTTAATTGGCCAAAATCAAGAACCAGAATAATTTTAGGTATTTCGCAGTCCTTTTTACATTTTCTCATACATGTGGCTAAAGATNACTACACGTGGATACTCCAGGGTAAAAATTGCCTGTCTCAATGATGCTTTCTCAGACTTTTTTGAACTGGAAGCAAGCCCAGTAGAAGGTCAATCACTGCAGCAAAAGATAAGAAAAGGGGAAAAAGGAAAGGTGAAAAAAACAATTAAAAAATGAAAAGCCTAACGACGTAGGTCACTTTCTCGAAATTTTGATTTCTGTGTATCTCCGAGCAAACATGTCGTAAAACGCGATGCTAGTGGAAAGAAAAGCATGCTGTCGTGTTGCAAATACCTTTTTGAGTAGATTGGAGTTAATTTGGCCCATATCCAGCCTGAAAATCTCCAAAATGTCCACAAAATGCATTTTTGGCAAAAAGTTCTGGGATTCAATGGGTTAAAACCGGTTTTGAGATTCTGTGTGTGCTAAACATGTGCTTTGCAATTGACAAATTCAGGGTATTGTGTTCAGCAATATGGTGATGTAACTGTCAGTTGCTGTATCCAACACACCAGTAGTCCATATCACATGGATCACATTTAAATAGTACACAGAGCATTGTTTGCTGATGATTTTTGGCTTCTGTTCCCTGGGTTTCAGAAAGTCTCTGATTTTTTGCCTTGTGAACACTGGTTGTGATCGCGTGCTGATTTTGCTGCTCAAGGGCTTTAGCTGATTTCTTGTGTTATTGGCTAATCTTTGGTCTTAAACGGAATGGTGATCACGATGGGTTCCTTGCTGGAGTTTTCTTTAGGCACACTGGACCTGGTGCCAATGGTTTGGTTGTGTATGAATGCCTTAATTGTTGAATCAATTAACTTTGTTGGATAGTGAAGTTCTGCAAAGGTGGTCTAGAGAAGCTCGCACTTGTTGGTGAAAGCTTACCAAGTTGATGACAGTCAATAGGCTCCGTATAGCATTGTTTTTAATAGGCTTGTATGGTAGCAATTGATGGTCAACATGACTATCATAATGTAGATAAAGCCCAGTGTTCGTTGGCTTTCTTTTTTTTTTAAATACGATTTTATTTACAAGACAAACACTTACACTACTTAAGATAGTAATATTATACTTACATTTACACTTACACTGTACTTGCTACTTACACTACTTATACTTGCACTATTTATACATGCACTAGTTACAATACTTATATTACAGTATTTTTTTCCCTGTCATGCAATAAAAAAATAATGGAATGGTAATGGAAGTGCCTGTATGTAATATCTCATAAGTGCATTGGAAATGGTACTGATCTCCACTCATACATGTAGTACTGTTTAAACACAAAAAATAAATAAATCCATCCAACATTACAGGACTCAAAGTACCAGTGTGTCTCACACGCAACTCTGCATACCTCTTTCAGACCCTTTTTCTCAAGTAGAGAAGAAAAATATGGCAATTCATATTTTTTTTTGGTTGGTTGCATCCTTTCTCCAGTAGTCAACATTACAGGTGGATTTGCTCATAATTTTGACACATTGCAAGTAGGCTTCCATGCAGACCAGTTGTTTTTGCAGTGCATCATCAATGGGTAAATTGCCTCGACGCAAGGGAAGTGATTTGAAATAAGCTCAACTTTTTAGAAAACTGTTAGACACATAAAAGCAGCTCATCAGCAAAAGTACTATTAATGGAAGTAATTATCAGTGAAGCAGCCAGGCAAAGTTCTGTTCACAGCTGGTCAATTTGCCCAATGCCTGGCCCATAATGAAACCCTTGCAGAAATATATAATTATATGTGTATGTGCTACTTTGTTTTATTTCAACTCCAAATGATAACAACTGAAGCGTGGTTGAAACATTTACTGTTACCTTAAGTTTTTATTCTTTATTTTGTTTAAGTCAGTTAACTTAGAAATTACATATTGACCAACAGTGCTGTGTGCGTACCTCGGCTGACGACCACAGAGATAAACATCAGGCTTGCTAATTGCCATATCACCAATAAATAAGGAGTAGTGACTCCCAGCTGCAACGTCCCAGATCATGACATCTGAAAAACACTGAATCAAGTGCAAATGTTCATAGAAACACGTACAAAAGAAAAATATATGGCATTTTAGAAATCAATTTTCATTTTAAAGCAGTTGTACATGTATGACAAAAATCGCATCTTTCCTATCTAAGCCATTTTAAAACATAGACAGGTAATCTGTACAAGAAGAAAAATGCTTGTTGCACCACAAAATGTAATAATCGCCACAAAATGTAATATCAACACAAAATGTAATAAGAATCGCCGCAAAATGTAATAACATTGAAACAAAATGTAATAAAAAGGTCAACACAAAATGTAATGCATGTAACTTTTCAACGCAAAATGTAATAACTTTTCTAACGCATATTGTAATAACGCAAAATGTAATAACTCTCGAACAACATGTACGATATCTCGAAACCAGTATTATGACTTGGCCAATGTTATCCTAATGTAGGTGAATGCTATTATTTGGTTCAACTTGGTGTACAGGCAAAATCAGGTGGTACATCGGCTTGTAACCCCTTCGTACTTTCATAATCTTCAACTCCAGAGATTATGTGTTTCAAATAAGCGCTGCATTGGTATTGAAGGGTGTGGTGATTGGAATATATGAGTACAGTCATTTCTCACCTTGAAGACACCTCGCTATTTCAAACACCCCACTAATATGGACAGCTGCTGAATCCCGAGCAAAAATTATAGACTTTTGATTGAAAGAAACTTCCGTTATTACGGACTTTCGATTGCTTCTACAGACTTAACCAACACATGTTCCGGTCCTGACACCGGAACATGTGTTGGTTAAGTCTGTAAAAGCGATCGAGAGTCCGTAATAATGGAAGTTTCTTTCAATTTAAAGTTCATAATTTTTTTTTAAGTTTTGAGTTGACTGTACCCATATATTTCAATCACCACACCCTTCAACAACAACACGGTGCCTATTCAAAACACTATCTCTGGAGTTGAAGATTGTGAAAGTATGATGGGGTTACAACATGATATTCCACCTGATTCCGATCCACAGAGCTTTCAAACTGAAAGCTACTGCACATTTTTTTTTTTTTTTCGAAACAAAACCTGTACATCAAATTGAACCAAATATTCAATTCACCTACGTGTCACAATATTACCTATGTTAGGATAACGTTAGCGAAGTCATAATACTGGCTTCAAGATATGGTACATGTCATTCGCAAATTATTACATTTTGCCTTAATACAATATGTATTACAAAAGTTATTACATTTTGCGTTGACTTTTTTATTACATTTTGCGTCAATGTTATTACATTTTGCATTAGTACTACATTTTGCGACGTTTCTTATTGCATCTCGCGTTAATATTGCATTTTGTGGTGATTATTACATTTTGTGGCGTAACAATGCTGTTTACTATTTTCAAATATCTCTTTTCATTCCAGAGATATTCAAGTTTTTTAAATACGCAAATTAACTAAGTGATGCCATCATAAACTCAACCAGACTTTGATCAAATATGATGTACAAAGATATCTCAGCCAATTTGAATCAGAAATGTTTGATTCTTCCTGTTAAATGTGCAATGTTAATATTTACAAAGAACTTTACATCAGGAAATGTGAAGTCTGCCATGAAACATTCAGCAGCTTGTAAATCAAATCAGCAGATAAATGGACAAGAAGGAAAACGGAAAAAGAGAAATGATGGCTGAATAGCTTTTGCACAGGCTTACTCGGCAAGCCAAGTCAAGTGCGGATATCTGTTGACATTAAAACTAAGTGATTGTGTAATTCATCAGCCTGAGGAGCATCTGAAAAGGCTGCCATATGCATGTCAGACATCAGCAATTAAATTCACTGGTAATTCTGTGGCAATCAACTTGTGTGCCAGAAGAGGGCAGCGACAAAACATTTCTTTGCGATTTGTGTTTGCTTTCAAATTTGGGAATGTGAAGACCAAGCAAAATCACCAAGTCTATCACTTACAAGACAAAAGCAATCAACAAAAGTGAAAATTTCTGTGTAAAAAATGGCAAGACGTTTGGATAGTATTGAAACTGAGTTTTTTGCATACATTATTTCTCAAAAACGAAGTGCAAATCATCAAAAACAATTATGCAACAATGCTTTTCACGTCAAAACAAGTCAGTCTGGCAAAAATTAGCTTGATCCTGCAAAAAATAAAAATTGGCCCAAAATGCTATATAATTATGTCCTTTTTGCACGAAAGCCTTCAATTACTGTTGCTAACCGTGTTTGACAAAGGAGGATCAATTTTGGCAGCTACTCTCTGATGTTATCAGGGTAACTTGTAAATTAATGTACGCAGAACTATTCATTTTTCACTCAACAGCTGTCTTTTATCACAATGCCATTTTGACTTAATTATTTCAGGTCACCCAAACACTTGTAATGAGTACAACCCTACCAGTAAAACAGACCTCAGAAACAGTATTGAGTGAGTTTGATGAATGGTCCAATCATTTCCACTAATGTACTAAGCAAACATAAATTTTCATGAGTCATCAATAAGGATGTTTACCCTGTACTTAGATATTGACATCATTTATCATTATTTACATGCATCAGGTAAGCCATTATATAAGGGTCATACAAACAATAAAGGCTAATTTAGCCACTTTCTAATACAAAGATTCAATGCAGTAACCTCACAACTACATGTACTTCTAATTCCATAATTACCCTGATTTTCTTGGGTTGTAAGGCCATGCTTTTCTTGCGTCCTAACTGACCACAAGAGTTGTCTCCCCAGGAGAAGACCTGCCAGAATGAAAGTAGATCAGATTATATATTCTTAGTACCTTAGTATTTTCCTGATTTCTATTTTTTTTTTTTTTGGATAATCCAAGCAAAAAAGGCAAATCTCTCCATCAGAGAAGGTACATAATTTATTTTGCAGCAGTTCTAACCTGAGAACAAACTGTTTGAGCCAATGAATGAAAGGTTCCAGCTGCTAACTTGATTACTCCAACATCACTTAGCTCTTTCACACAGCATGGGTAAAATCTGTAAAGGTAACATTACCTTGAGTGAAGCTATTCAAAAAGGTAACTAAAGGTGGATCTAGTGTGATCAATACCTGTTAGTCAGTATGTTTTAGCAAACAAGGACGAAATCTGTAGGAGATAACATCAACCTCTGTCATGCAACAGTCATGAACCTTCCAACTTATGCTCAGAAAACAGGGCTCAAAATAATTTTCAGACTGTGCCCAATCATGATGACCAGCCAAACTAATTTTAGCTTGGTCATATCTCGTTTGTGACCGGTCAAGAAATTTCAAAAAAATCAAAGTAATGATGGCCCAACAACCCAAAAATATAATTTGTTTCTTCCAGTTGTTGCTAGACCATTTTAAAGGTGGCTCATTACAGAGAATAGCTGAAAACCCAAACAAAGACAGCCTTGGCAGGGCTCAGCAGCTCAATGAAGTGGCATGCTGTTTGTTGAATTCTAGCCATCTGCCAAAGAAAAAGTATTGAATGGATGCACATTTGATGAAACTTTGAATTTTGCGATCGGTATGTTGAATCACATGACTGTTTCTTTTTTTTCACATGTTCTACAAAGAATTTATGTTCCCGAAATTGTTAATAATAATAATAATAATAACAACAACAACAACAACAACAACAATAATAATAATAACAATAATAATAATAATAATAATAATAAAGGAACTTCCACTTCAAATTTCTCCACAGGAGAATAGCTACAAACTCTTTTCTGTTTAAAATTAAACTTTCGGAATCAAATCTTCATTGCTTTTGTCAAATGGCACAAGAAACTTGATCCTTGATTTTCACCTGTGCCAATGCACAACAATTTGTTGCATTACTATGAATACAGCTACAATTACACTACACGTGTTGGTAAGTTTCTTAACGATGTGACTAAAAATTAAGTTCTAAAGTGTAAGCCCTAAAAGACCTTAACTCTGTTGCAGTCATACTTAGAGAGAGTTTTCGCTCATGAAAAACTAATGATCAATTATCATTCACTTATCATAGTGGGTAGAATTTGGTCACATGCTAGGCAACAAGTTGAGAAAGTCTCAAATTTCATTTGTGAACATATAAAATAACTTTACAGATAAAGATATTGATAAGGCCTTCAGCTTTTGTTGGTTTATAATTATTTTCATCCGCTTTGTAACAGTAACTTCTATCGGTTGGTTCTGAATTAGATACTGGGTTTGTGTTCAATGTTACATTTACAGCTTGATGGAAACAGCCGGAAGCAGACTGCAGAATGAGTGTTTTGATGTCCCGGGGTCTGATAGTGCCTAAGTTGGAAACAACTAGACAAAATAATGAGCGAAACGTTTTGTTTTGGTATCTTGTTTCGTTGATTTTTGTGCAGCAAAAGTGAAAAAAATGACAAACATCTTGACATCTGCAGAGCAATACCTTCAAGACTTATGCCAACAAAGAAAGGCGCTCTGTGGCAAAAGTGTGATAGTTACACTAAAGTGTCACGAAAAGCTGACTCGGATCAGATTCCCTTTGCTGTATGGAAAACCTACACCATTCAAAAGGCTAAATATTTTTCCAAATTGAAAACCTCTGCTGTTCATACAGATGATTATTTTTCCAGCGGATTACAGCAGCCATTCAAACGGCTGAATATTTTTCTGAATAGATATCCCCAGCTGTTCAAACTGCATCCTATCGATCTTAAACACATAACGTAAGCGAACAACATTTAGCCATTCTAACAGATACCTGTTGGTGTACGTTTTCACATGAGAAGTCATAAAAATTATTGTATTTTTACAAAGAGATAAACTCTAAGATTTACAGTTGAGGATTTTCTCATTTATTTGAGAATGAGTAATGTGACCGGTCAACATTGACTGGTCACCACTGACCGATCATCATGACTGGCAAGTGAAGTTTATGGCCGCTCAAGTCACCATTCTGGCTGGACCTTGTCCATTGACTGGTTGTTATTTTGAGCCCTGGAAAAAGTACTTATCATGAACAAAGTCAAAGACTCTCTGTCTAGGACAAAAGAGGTGAAGAAAGTGCAATCAAAAAAATTGATATTTTACTATGTAAATAATCAATAGAATAACACATAATTAGAGAGTTAATGAGGAGGCTTCCCAATCAAGACAAGTGTAGGTTTTCTTAAAAATCATTTTTTGAAAACTTGTTTCCAGCATTCCGAAGTTCAACATCTATTATTTTCATGCTGTATAATAATCACATAGTATTCTACATTTTCATCTAAATTCTAAACATTTGGCAATTGATAATAGACTTTGAACATCCAAAACATATTTTGTATATAACTTACTTATATTATTACGACAAAACTCTGAATAAAATCCTTAAATGACTGCATTAGAATGATGACAAATTGGTAAGTAATAACATGCTCTGCTTTTAATGTAGGCTATGAGGGTTGCAAAACATACATGTAGACTATATATGCTCATGGAATCATCGCATGGAATACTAAATCATAGTCTTTACCTATCTTCTGTGTCTCCCAGGCCAAGCTGTCCACAGCCTCCCCTCCCCCATGACCACACCTGAGTGTTTGCTCCAGCTAGTTTAAATTTGCTCCCAGCTGCATCACAAAGACAAAGACCAAGCAAACCACACTGTTTACAAGGGGTATTTATCATCACAGCTCTGGGAGGATCACAATGAGAAATTTGTCCAAGTAATGAAGTCGTAAACATGCCAGTCACTGATCCTACTACAGCACTGGTCAATTTGCTGAGGTTCACGTCAGGTCTGATCAGTCTGCTACCAACAGCACTGTAAAAACCAGATGAATTCTTACTAACCACTGCACCCACTGTTTCCTTTGGTTTCCTGTCCTGACATACTTTTGAAAGAGAATCCTCTGAGTCAGAATCAGTGCTTGCAAAATATGTAACACTTGTAGCACTTGTAGGACTAAAGGGAGAAACATCAGAGAGATATTCATCTGGTGAATTGGAAGAAAAACTGTTTTCATTTGATTCTGTAGTTTCAATGGAAGTGGAAGATTGTGTTTGAAAAGACTCAGTTTTCTCACTGTCTATGTTCACAGATTTGTCAATCCTGGCTTCCTGTAATGTACTTTCGCAAACAATTAGCGATGCATCATTGCTGTTTGTACTTCTCTCAATAGATAAGTGAGATGCAACTTCTCCCTCATCTTGACCAGAAACAACAGCACCTGCATGGACACCACAACTACTTAATGGCTTCAATTTACTTTGTTCATTATTCAAGAGTTTTTCTTTACTCTGATCCTGGCCCAAATTAAGCACTGTACATGTGTTGGCCACAACCCCAGATGTACTCCCAGCTCTTTTCTCAGTGACAACAGGCTCATAGCTGAGATAAGTTCTTGTAACACTAGGTTTTGCAATGTTTGATGAGCAAGTAATCATGTCAACTTTTAAAGTTCTATGCGACTCATGCTTTCCTGTGATCAGATGTTTTGGGGATGATCTCTTTGACAGTTTTCTTTGCTTCTTCCTTAATTTTTCCCGTTTGGGAGGTTTTCCTGTCAGTGACGTTAAATCTTCATCGCCCTTTGAAAGCATGAAAGTAGGATATGACAGATCCCCTTGAATAACAGCTAGACTGTGATATGCTCCACAGGCAACTGATGTAACATGCTTTCCAATTAAAAACTCTATTTGGGTTGGTACTGTTACTTGATCAATCTCTACACCATGTCCCAGCTGACAACCGGTACCCCATGACCAGACCTCGCCATCAGTAGACACTGCGAGTGAGTGGGAATCTCCACATGCAATTTGTATGATCACAGGTTCGCTCGTCTTTTTGTCTTTGTCTTGCTGCGTAGAAGGATTTGTTTCTCTGGTATCCCGGGTATTAAACCGTTCAAACTGGACTCGTGTAGGTTGGTTAACCAGTTTTATATCTCCAATACCACACTGTCCACTGGACGAATCTCCCCAGAAGAAGATTTCATTACTTGCACAAACGACACCACTGTGCTGACCACCGCAAGAAATCTCAAGCACACGTTTCTCACGAAAATAATGAATAACTGCCGGTTCCCGACGAGGCTTAAGGTCACCAAGACCGAGCTGGCCAAAAGAATTATCCCCGACGGAAAGCAACTGGGAATCAAACGTAAGAAGCAAAGTGTGGCTATTTCCTAAGGCTACCTTTGATATTCCAGTACTTAATGCGACGCTCCTTATGCGAGGTTCTAAGTTCGTCGACCTCCAGAAATATGCAATTCCCTTGGCAAAATCATCCTTGCCATCTTTTTCTTCCTTTGACGGATTCATTTATCGACATTTACACCACCAGTTGCCTACAGGTTTAGTTTACACTTCATGGTAACATGCAATATAGTCTCCCTGTCGTCTCCCTGAACATGACTGAAAAATGTCTGCGCATGTGCAAGATCTCCAGCGGAACGAGAAACGTAGCATTCTCGTCCCCAGAGCCCACGATCCTTCTGGCCTGCGGCGGGGATCGAGAGGGCTGGTCCAACACCGGAAGTCCGCGATTCAAATTGTTGATTTTGCACGACGCGAAAGCTCATTGGGGTTAGGGTTAGGGTTAGGGTAATGGTTAGGGTTATGATTAGGGCTAGCTACAAAATGAACGCTGATTGATCATTGACCATCATTGTTTCTTGAATATTGCGTGTTATTTGGGTTGACTATTGACCTTGCGTGCGGTGGAGAAGACGAAGACAGCTTCAGATTCTAGTTAAGAACTAGCATGACCTTGATACTTTGTTAAAAACAAAATACTGTATATGAAGAAACGGGCCAAATTTTCGTCGACGATGACTGCGGAAAAGCGACTGCGTGACATGCGGGGTAAGATATAAAACGTATTTGACTAAAAAAGTCTTTATTCTCAGTCTGCGTTTTGTACCTAGACTGCAGTCTGCATTTTGTACCTAGTGTGCATGTTGTACCCGGTCTGCAGTCTGCAGTCAGCATTTTGTGCTGATCGGTATTAATTCAGTACGCCGATGACGCAACTGTTTTTGTTAAAGATATTCGGTCTGTTCATAGGCTTTTTGATCTACCGCAATAATTCTAAAACTGGTCTCCGAATAAATCAGTCTAAATCAGAAATACTTTGGCTAGGATCTTTAATTCAGAGAAAGGACTTAATTTTGAATCTAAAATTAAGCGCTGAGCCTATCTACGCCTTGAGTGAATATTTTTCATACGATGAAGAACTTGCCACTAAAAAAAGTTCTTTAAAAAATTGCCTAACTTATAAAGACACTTAACATTTGGTCGTCTCGAGATGTATCTACATGTGGAGGGGTAAATATAGTCAAAACTTTGGCAATGGTCAAACTAACTTTTATTTTCAGTGTGTTTTAGACACTCCAAATGGGTTTACTGTTGAAGTAAACAACATAATATTTGATTACATATGGAGGTACAAGAATCCAAAACTCAGAAAAACGACTATAATTAAAACTAACAACGAGGGGAGACTTAATACGTTAGATTGTACATTATTTGATAAAGCATTAAAGATAGTATGGGCAAAGCGCTTGTGGCCTAACGATAAAAGACCATGGAAACTTATCCCAATGTCCTTACTTTCAATGTTGGCGGCAACATTCTTTTCCGGTGCAACTGTGACATCCAATATCTACCCCTAAATGAAAACTTACCGAAACTCTATCGAGATATAATTTCCCACAGGCAGAAAATTAATAGCACTAACGCGATAATGATCAGTTTATTTGAGTAAACAAATGCAAGTCGTCTTTTTTTCACTAGCTGGAAAAAGTCGGCATTGAAAAACTCTCGTACCTTTTCGACAACGAAAGTAACGACTTGACGCCTTTTAAAACTTTCATGTAGAAATGTAGAAATACAACGTCAAGAGTAATGTTCTACTGTATTACAGCTTTCTATTTGCAATACCACAGAAATGGAAAACTATGCTGAAGCCGGAATGTCGTTTACCCTCAACTGAAGTCACTGAATACGTACCAGATGCAATTGAAAAGCTCACGTGCAAAACAATTTGCAATACACTACTCAGTCACCAACACTTCCCTCCTCCAACTGCACAGAAAAGACTCATTGAACGCGACAATATGTTTTCCCTGTTATTCAGTTAATTATATACATGAAAAAAATACCCTATTCTGATTGGCTGAGAGCAGTGCAGCTCAAGTGTAACACCAGTGCAAAAAGTGTAACACCATTGCAAATGGCACGTCGTAATTCTGGATTATGATTGGCTGAGAGACATTAGGAAATATTCTAGGCCAATGATATCGCGTAAAATGATGACGAAAATGTGCGGAAACTTTGAAAAAAGTTTTCCCGAATGAAAAAAAATGGCTTCAAGAACGATCCCGGCTCCAGGCGAATTTTTTCATGCGAGCGGTTCGTGCGATTTCAACTTTTTAAAAAACTCTCTCGTGCGAATTAATTCCAAATAACTCGAAACCGTATGATTACCTTTACTAATGTGGTTAATATTCGTTAACTATTTGTAAACGTTTTCCCATTTTCAAGAAAGAACCCATAAAATACTGTTTAGCGTCTTCAGCCTGTTTTCAGAGGTTTGTCACCTGGACAAGTTGCTTGTGGACAAGATGAACTGAATTCCATGCTTCTCGAACCAATCACTATCGCGCTTATAATGAACCAAACTTTTTAACACTTAGGGAGTAGTTATTCATTGACTATTGTGGCATGTGACCTCGAAAAGTTCATCTTTGTAGTCAGACTGCGAAGTTCTTTAACGCTGTACCGAAACTGCCCTACAGAGTTGTTTTATATAAAAAGATAATTTTTTAGGGTATAAGACCACCTTAAACAGTGTTTTGTAGATCGACATCTGTGAACAATAGCGCAATTTTACGCACAGCACTCTTGACAGCTTGTACGAGCGGAAAACTTTACAGTTGGCTAAACCTGAGAACACGGACTCGAATTTGAGATTTAAGTCAATAATACGCTTTTATATCAAGTCGACTCGTGTTGAATTCTCCACAACTTGCAGAAGCTTTATTCGTGCTTTCAGGTAACTCGAAACTATGTAGAAGCATGGAACATACTACTTCTTTATAACACAATTCACTTATTTATACTCTTGTCTTGGCTTTTCTCTCTGCCTCTTCTTCTTTATGTATAATTCACTAATCCTTTTCAAGCCCATCCAATACAGTCATCATCATCATCATCAGCAGCAGCAGCAGCAGCAGCATCGTCGTCGTCGTCGCCGCCGCCGCCGCCACCGCCGTACCACTACAACATATCACATTTTTTTTTGAAGAAAACAGTTGTTAAGAGTCTATTGCGCAGCATGTCACATTACCGATTGGCTACAATTTATATCTTGACGGAACACAATACAATCATTTACTCCAGTGTCAGTGTTTCGGGCCCGGGGTGGTCATTTCTAGCGAAGTTTTGTATGCAGAATTTTCGTAGGTGCTAATTTCTCGCGTTGCTTTATATTTCTCCTTGTAACTTGAATAGCCATCCATTCTGTTGTAAGCCGCTTTTAACTCAGAAATCTTTGCAAGACATTTTTCAACATCAGAGATTCGGTCCATCATGCGTTGAAAGTCACCGCTCTTCATCAACGTATCTTGTTTCCAGTTTTCTTCCTTAGCATCTTCTTTATTTACTACGAGAAACAAAACGTTTATATCATCATGTGTTTGCTGTGCGTATTATGTTACATTTGTAGTGAGGAATGAAGGAGGGTGCAGAAATTACTTAGGAATGAAATTGTGCACAGTGCATCGATTAGTGGCCAAACACATAAGTCAACAAATTAAGAACAGTTAACGACATTGTCGAGTGTTAAGACCGATGAGGGAATATATTTGGCATTTTTATCAGGCTTAGGTTTTCCTCGTCACTGAGGGCCTGTTAAAAAACCCATCATCTTTTGGGGCTTCCTCTTCTGACAGTTTATCATCGCCCCTTCATGCTTGGGCGTAAAACTATTGTATTTGTATTGGCCAGTTTCCTTCCCCCTTGATTTTAGCGGAGTCCCGGCGGCCCTAATGGCCGCGAAGCGCAACACCATAACTATAGGAATAGAACCACTTGCATGCATAGAAATGGAAAACCATGCAACTGTTTTTTTTTTTTTTTTCATGGTCAACATGGCGAGCGGCATGGATCTCTTACGACGACGACGGTGACGTCGCGTAACATTGGCGGCCACACTCCAGCTAATAGGTCGACCGAGATATGCAGCGTTGGTTTACAGCGTACATGTTTGATATTGGACATCCATATTATGGTCAATTGACACCCGTCAAACCAAGGTATCCGCTGACCAGTATCACGTGACCATATCGTGGCTTCAGGTTTAGACCTTATGCGAGGTCAGGTAGATCTTCGTAGGAAAGATACAAGAAGAGAGTTAATTCGTGTCTTCATTCCAAAATCGTTTTGTTATTTCACGCAAGGTACATAAAACTAAAGAAAAAGCCCAAAATATAAGTTCCAAGTTACATAGACTAAACAAGCTACATGTATCAGCTCCAATTGCAATTTCATGATCGTTGCGGTTTAGACACTTGTTTATAATAGAAACATATAGGGGTTAGTCTTTCCCATTTATAAACACTCAATTAGTCTGCAAATATTCGAAGGGAGACTGGTCTTTTAAAGAAAATTTTAGCATGTGTCTCGATTTTGATCTTGATGGAAAACGAATTAATAAAATGCAGTAAATGACACGAAGAGGTTTTATTAACGTGGTCCAGCTGGACCAAGCAAGCAGGTTTTTGAAAAATAGAGTAAGACTGTTTGCTGTCTATCCCGCGATCTGACCTCGGTTGGAATTCGGCCTGGTCCAAACGTCGTGCTTCTGCCGTGCCGAACTCAACTGAATGAATTTGACCTGGCAATGGCACGGCAAAAGAACAACGGTGACTTCAAACGTCGAATTTTATTCAGTCGCGCAGAAGATCAGAAAAAGTTTGCTTTGCTGAAGAACATAATAAAATGCTAGAAAGCAACAGCAGATGATGCAGCAGGTCATGAATTCAGTTCGGCACGGTAAGAGCACGCCGTTCGAAGCCAGGTCGCGCTACTACCGTGCGGCACCAGGCAAGGCCTGCCGTGCTATTCATACCGAAGTGAATGCAAGGTTTCAAACGTCGTGCTTGTTTAGTTATGTTGCGATATTGTAAGTAAGTTGTGTTAGTAAGTAGTTTGTAGCCGTATATATGATATGGTTTTTATAAGCAGCTGTAGCTGTAACTTGTGAGTAATATCGAAATTGAATCTTAAGTAGCAGTAGCTTGTAAGTAGTGTACGTTTTGTTTTGTATTGTAAGTAGCTGTACCATTTTAAGTAGTGTAAGTGCTCTGATAAAAAATAAAAATAAAAAATAATGATAATAAAAAAACACTTTAGAAAAAAGGAAAAAAGAAAAAGTAAGGGGCCTAAAATTGAACCTTGAGGACCACCACATGTTATGTAAACTATAGAGGAGGTGATACCATTAGCATAACATTCTTGTTGTCAATTTCCTTAATACAGTAAGTAGACAACCAATTAATTGTTCTTGTTTCTACTCCACAGAATCTAAGTTTTGTAAGTAAAATAACATGGTCAACAGTATAGAAGGCAATTTTTCAAGATAGAAAACAAACAAATCATCATTCATTCATATTACAATAATGTGCAGCAAAATAACAGAGGCATAAGTAGTTATATTGGGGTGAGTGCCCAGTTCTTTAAAATAAGTCTTTCTTGTTTATTTGTTCAGTTTCATATTTAACCTTGAATTTTAGGAGGCGTTCAGCTTCGTCTGCAGTCCCACAAGGACAGTTGTCCAACTACTATATAAAAAATAGTGAACAGGCAGAAGCGAGCAATAAAGTGACTCTTGGAATCTGGACTGCAGGAGTCAATAAGAGGAGCGGGACTCTTTTTACCTTTTTCGCGCAACTTGAGTGTACGCCTTTTCTGTCTGGAAAACAGTTCCCATAACAAGCCCATGGCAATCAAAGCAGCTAGGATACTCAACAAGATATACAGAGTCTTCTGGAAAGCCACTTGGCTTGCGCCAAACAGGTTTAAACGTGTACCCCACCAGGTCGATTCAGTGTCCTACAGTTATAGAAGAAATTATCACATTAAAGACAGTTATGTTTTCTCACCAGGAGACCTTACTCCAAGCGCCCCCAGCTGGAATAAGTTATGGAAAAAGCTGAGCTCAGAGGCGAAAATGACGGGAGTCTCACAAAAACCCACAAATATCGGCACTGGAGGGCAGTCAACATAGACATTTGATATTATTGTATTACAAGAGTTGCGAATTAACAAATTGACGTCAGTTTTTCATGGGTCTGTCCTGTTATTGATCATAAATTTCGTCATAACATTGTCAAAGTAGCTGTGGATCTGCAGACTACTTTAATTTGACAATGTTATGACGAAATTCATTGTCAATAATAGGACAGACGCATTAAAAACTGACGTCAATTTGTTTTTTACGATAACAAATTGTCAAATGTCCGCTCTCGCTAGTTGACGCATCGCATAAATTATGAATTCATGCGTTTGTCCGCATATTGACAATGAAAATTAGCCATTGAGCGCGCGAGAATTTCTGCAGTTATCGTAAAAAATGTAATTCTTCATATCATGTCAACCAAAAACGATACATACTTGAATTGTTGAAGCTCTGATATATTTTAACACAGCCGGGTAAATGTCCAGTTCAATCTTTGTTTCACTTTCTGTTTTGATGCAGTAGTGTAGCGGGATGTGGCCTTCGTCCAACAGGTGCACCATGTAGATTCCGATTGAGAAAGGAAATTCGAGAATTCTGACTTGTTCCAAAATATCTGAGTACTTTGGGTGTTTGTTGGAAAGGTAGTTGGTAGTAAACACATCCAACAGTATACCCTCAACTTCATTGTTAGAGAGACCCGCAGAAAGTGCTTCAAGATCGTTGTACTCTAGTAACAGATAACATTAGGTGCTATTTTAATGTGGTTAATTTAAATACATGTTTAAGTTCCTGGGATGAAACAAAGTAGTGTAAAAAATATCCCAACCTCTGGAGCAAAGCGGGCAGTAAAATCATTTGCAAAGGAGATAACAAATGATTTCGAAAAACATTTGAGCAAGAAAGTTAACGTAAGTAAAGTAACATGACGTTTCGACGACTTCACGTCTAAAATGGACTCCCTGTATCAGACACGACGCAATACACCGTAAAGTTATGAAACTGGACTCTTCAACGTTGTATTGACGAAGACGACATGGATTTTGACGAAGCGGCTGAGTCAGCAGTGGCAAAACGGAAATTTCTGTTAATCAGAGTCATGTAGAAGAAGTTACTCCCCGAAGAGTCGGATGATGACGAAGAACAAGAAGAAGTAGAAAAAGAGGTTGAAGCCTCAGTGTGACACACTGAATTTGCCATGTGACTCGTTTAAGAGAGTGCGATTATAAGGTTTTACTCATTTTTTGTCAGACGGCACACAAGATAAACTGCTCCAATCATAATCAATCACCGGAGAGTGACAAGAAGGTTGTTTGTAGGAGTGCTTACCATAAAATATATCATGCTGAGAATAGGAAGCGAATCCTGGCTCGGCAAAAAAACTGGCGCACAGAGAACGCCGAGATTCTCAAAAACCCGTCGTAAAAGATAGTATGAACACAACGTGGAATAGATCACCAGGAGCCGGAGAACATATAGTCAAAAGAACAAGGAGTATGTCAGAAATTACCGAGGAAAATACTGCAATAACAAGAGGGAACGGTTAAAGAGATATTGGAGAGGTTATTATGCCAAGAACAACGAACGGATCAAGCAAAGACTTCGTGGTAAAAAACGAACAGAAATAGGAAAGAATATCACGCGTTCTTGGGCCTGGAACCAAGGGTCTGAGGGAGTGCGAGTGGAAAAGAGTCTAGTTCCCAGCGAACAAGCGGTTACACTTCGAGGAATATCAACAAAATTATAATTATGTTCCGTGACTGCCTCGGAAAACAAAATAAAAAATATACTGTGAATTCTTTTCCTTGGATCGTTTCTTCTTTTTTTGCGTGCGGTTTACTTTGATTACGTAGCGGGTAAGTTTAAAACTCTGAGAATAAAGCCGAGCGTCTGGTTTATTCATTCCACATAAATAAATGTTATAAAAGGGATATCGGTGATCCTTCTAAAATAATCTTTTTTTCTGTTTGTGTTTTGTGTGTGTGTTATAGAAGCCGTGTAATGTCTCTCGTATTTTAATTTTTGTTGATTGTTTTAAATGACCTCAAACACAATCACTTGACCGGTTTGGCGTAGTAATAATGAACGAGGCATACGGCTTATTATATTTCACGCAGTGAAATGTAAATAAGACAAATTAGGAGTCTCGTTTGTTTAAGAAGGGGATTAATAAACCAAAGAAAGAGAAAAAGGTGTGGAAAGAGCGGGGGTGTCCTTTCATTCGTGTTAATCATTTTTTTTTAATTTGCTTACATTACAGCACTTACAAAAAAGGACGCTACTTACAATGCAACACTTACAACAGTTACATTACCCTACTTACAATAAGGTGCTTGGACTAATTACACTAGAAGTATACAATAATTACATTAAAACGTCACATACAGACGTGCAGATGCCCAATTAACTCCCTTACAAGTTTAAATACCAAACTAAATGATAGAAAAATTATTTAACTTAACAATTATCCCACGGACTTCCATGACTTCCCTTGAATTAAACCTATACAAATTATAACAGAAGCTCCCACCTTTTATAAAAATCGCGAAGCTTTGGGTTCTTTATAGCAATTATTTTTTCAACTTCTTGTTTAGCTTCGACCTTGTGCAGAAATAGTCTAAAGTTTGGAGAGATCTTGTTCTTTCTACTCTCCCAAATAGTTATCTTACCGAGAATTATCAAATAATTTAGTACATCTGTCCTATGAAGAAGGCCAATTATGATGTCCTTTAAGGACAAAGATAAATTTTCACCACCAAGATCAGACCACCAGACTGTGAATCTATTCCAGAACGCCTGCACAGTGGAGCGGTTAAAGAAGAGGTGGTACAAATCTTCCGTGCAGGTTCCACAGAAAGAGCACCTGTCCGAATCACTTAAACCTATTTGGAATAATTTATCATTCGTAAACAAAATAAAATTCAACATTCTATTTTGGAATGACCAGACATACGTTTCACTTGCAATTCGATATGGAATAGAAAAAAGTTCTCGTGGATTTGAGAAGTTAAAATCAGCTGTCAGCTTTTTGAAGCTATTCGGAGTTTTCGCTTTGGTTGATATCAACATTGAATAAATTTGTTTGCACTTGCATACATATGCATTAAAAACTTTAGCTTTATACTCGAAGTTCATTGGGTCGAAATTACCCACTGTAAAAAAATTACCAGGACTTTTTGAACTCACATTTATGATAGAAGACCTCAAAGCTGTCCATGTCAGGAAATTAGTGCTAAGTCCTTTCTGTTTTAAGGACTCGTAAGAACGCACATTATCAGCATCAAACTGTAAATCATTCAAATAAATTATGCCCTTATCAAAGAAGTTTTCGTAAAAAACTGGTTGACTATTTATTCTTATATCCTTATTATTCCAAATACCGTTTTCAGAATAATTAACATCAGAAAAGGTCGCTCAAAATTCCGCCTACCATCTAAGAAGCTCTAAGTAAAAATTACTAATACTTAAATCAAGATCATTTACATTGTAATTGCATCTGAAGAGAAAACACCCTCCATAACTCTTTAAATTGTATTTTAGATAAGATAACCAAGGACCTTTCCCCTCATCTAAAAGACGCGGAATCCAGGACAATCTTAATGCTTTTATATGTGTTTCGAAGTCTGTAAGATTCAGTCCACCATTCTCTAAGGTGTTTATCACAGAAAACCTAGTGACTTTATCAGGGCTTTTCCATAAAGATTTAAACATCATTTTCTCCATTTAATAATTTCAGGTGGGGTTTCTATTATTGAAGAAACATATAATAGTTTTGGGATGAGAAAAGATTTAATGATTGCCACTTTACCAAATAGGGAGAGACCTCTCAATTTCCGTAAATTGGTCAATTTTTGACATTCATTTAGTCTATCATGGAAGTTTTGTTGTATAACTTGTTCTTGGTCACAGGAGAAATGAATACCTGAAGTCTTAACGCCAGAACACCATTCGAGGCCCAGAGGTGTCTCTAAAGAATTTCTATTCTTTTCAATCCACATAGCCTTGGTTTTTGAAATATTTATTTTTAAACTAGAACACTTTTCAAAGTTGTTAAGGGTTTGCATTATTTTTTCGACTGATGAAATATTGGCAAATGTGGCTATCATGTCATATGCATACAACAAAGACTTAGTTTCATCTTCCCCGATTTTTATCCCTTCGATCTGTTCATTTGCTCGTATAGATATAGCCATTATTTCAATGGCAATTAAGAATAAATACGACGACAACGGGTCATCCCGTCTTAGATTTAGATTTAGATTTTGACCATAACCCTTAAGTGGGTATAGGGCCAGACATTCTCCTTCGCCATGTCACACGGTCACGAGCAGCCACTGTTGCCTCGCTCCATGAGCCAAAACCCAATGCTGTTCTTTCTTTTTCTGTGGTTCTCCGCCAAGTCTCTTTCGGTCTACCACGACTTCTTCTTCCCTCTGGGGCCCATGTTAATGCTGTCTTGGGATGTTTATTTGGATCCATTCTGAGAACGTGGCCGATGAACTTCCAGCGCCGCCGGAAGATTTGCTCACTTATGGTACTGATGTTTGCCCGCTTTCGAATCTCCTCATTTGATATTTTCATAGGCCAATAGATCTTCATAAGCCTTCTCAGACTTTTATGTAGAAATACGTCNCCCGTCATCAACCCATCCTCCCATGTGATAAAATTATCATTTGGAGTTAGGCAAGTAGTTGTGCTGTTCCCCATGTAACATTGCTTGTTAGAATTTCCGGTTTCCGTAATCGATAATTTTTTTACGGGATGGGGGGATTGGCCCCATGCCCAACCCCCAACCTGGAGGGTCTGTGTTTTCTGTCAGGGTGTCCTTCCCTTAGCCACAATATCCCGTTATTTGAAAGGCGCCGGATACCCGCCTTTTGCAGTTGTCGCTCGGCTGCAGCACAACTGCATTACCGGGGTTATGACGAGGACATGCGACAGCCGACTTGGTGGCAGAGCCTTTGACTTACCCCCCTTTTAAGTTGAAAAGGAGGAGAGAAAAACCATTGTTGAGGAAACAGCTAGAGAGGTTATTGCAAAACGTCTGAATCCACCTTATGAAGGAAGGGCCAAAATCAAAACGCTCTAGTGCTTTATAAAGAAAGTTATGTTCAATGGAATCAAAGGCTTTTTCAAAATCTATGAAGAGTAAAACACCTGGAAGCTTTAATGCCTCTGTATGGGCGATAATATTTAAGAGTGAACGAGCGGTTTCTCCGATAAACCTACCCTCCATAAAGCCAGATTGATTTGAATGAATTATACCTGGGAGAACATTTATTCTGTTTGCGATGACCCCACTCACAATTTTAGAATCGACATTGATTAAAGAGATTGGTCTCCAGTTTTCCAAAAACATTCTATCCTTCTCTTTTTTTGTCGATCAAGGTGATGACAGCCTGCTGTTGGGAGCTTGGCATTTGCCCTAACATAAAAGAATGATTTAAGACCTCTGTCATAAACACTCCAACAGGATTCCAGAAGATTTTATAAAATTCAGCAGGAATTCCATCATTTCCAGGAGTTTTCCTTGCGTCAAATGTGTCAAGTGCTTCAACACACTCCTCTGCGGTAATATGACTTTCACAACTTAATCTTTCTTTTTCTGATAACGCTGGGATGTTTGGATTTCCAAGGAAAAGATCTAATACATCAGATTGACTTACATTCAATTTGCTGCTATATAACTTCTTATAATACTCCGAGGAGGAATCTAATATCTTTTGATAGTTCTTGGTAATGACTCCACTTAAGCAAAGCTTCCTTATGTGTTTTCTGGTATAATTTCTTTTTTCCAAACTCAAAAAATATTTTGTACTCTTTTCGCCATATTCATACCACCTTGCCCTCGCACTTACTATTAAACCATTAGCTTTTTCCTCATATAAATTCTCCAATTCCGCTTTACATTCCTCAAGAATATTTTCAACTTCTTCACAGGGGTTCTGCTCAAACTGTGTTTGCGCAATTTGCATCTTTCTTTGCAATTTTTCTTTTTTCTCCCTTTTGGTTTTAGCTCTTACTTTTGAATAGTTTATCGAAAACATGCGCGCACTATATTTTATCCAGTCCCAAGCAACTCTAATATCTGAGAACTCCTGACCCTCCTTTTTCCATTTTCCAAAAATCTCATCAGTCAAAAGCGAAGTATTCATTTTCCAAAAACCCGTGCCTCGCTTACATTCCTCAAGTTCCTGTAAGTGTAGAAGAATTGCCGAGTGGTCAGTTCTAATAGCGGCGATAATATCGACATCTTTAATTAAATCCTGTAGTGAATTTGAGATAAGCCAATAGTCTAATCTACAGAAAATAAATGGAGGTTTTCGTGACCAAGTAAAGCTTTTTGTTTGAGGATTTTCTATACGCCATACGTCATTCGTGTTAATCTGATAATAGTCCCAACTAGATTAACTTTAAGAATGTTAAAAAACATTGGCAGAAGTCTTATATTTGCATTATATTGTCTATAAAAAAACACATTCAGACGTTGACTTGAAACCAAAACATGGACAGCACATTTGAAATCGTATACGCACCTTAAGTGTAAAGTGGCTGAAATTGAACAATTGTTGGAAATTAAAGAAAAAAGAATTCGGAGAATTGGAAAAAAAAGAACTAAAACAGAAAGAAAAGAACAAAGCAAAAGCAAGAATAAGACCAGAGCGATCAAGGGAAAAAGTATTCGCAGCAAAGAGGCGGTATCGGGAAAACCACAAAGAAGAAATAAAACGCAAAATGAAAGAAAAAAACCCAGAAAGAACTAGAAAAGCACGTGGAGAACATTTTAAATTTGGAAGAAGAGTATGGGATGCAGGAACAATATGAAGTTGTGATTCTGAGCCCTCACAAAACACAAATCCACGCAAAGCCTTACAGAAACAAACTTTCTCCCTAATATTGTCCAATCGATTCGCACAAACACATTTCTCGTTATTGATTAGTAGAAAATTCAGAGCGCACGGTCACCAGAACCCGCACATGTCCTGCTATGTCCATTTAGAGATAATTTTTGTGAAATAGAGTTGTTCAAAAAAATGTCACTGTCTGGCGTTATTTTTTCTTTTCAGTCCGTTTTAGGGTAGTCCATTAATTTGGGTAGTCCACTGGGGTGGTCCATGAACTGAGGGTCAGTGTTCTGTTCATCACCCATAATTCTGAGTTAAACAAACATGGTTTCCCGCAATCAAGTACACATTCGCACAAAGCTTCCAAAAAAAAAAAACCTAGAAATGTTTCTTTGCAACCGATCTCTCAATTCGGTTGTGCATCAATTAGAGTAGAGAAAAATATGTATTTAATTTATTCAAGGTCTTAGTTATTTTGCTTTGATCGAAACGTACCGTGGTTTTCTCGATTAAACGCCGAGTCGCTAATAAACGCTTGTTCTCAAGGTGGAGGCTTAAATATGTCTCTAGTGGAAACATTCCAAGTATAATGAGCTGTAAGTATGGCAAACTCTATGGTTGTCAAAAATAATGAACTGAAGCCTTACTTTGTAAATATGAAGCTAAAATAAGAGTCAATAAACGCCGGGTTTGCTCCGCTTGAAAAGAAAATTAAAACTTCCCTGTCTCGGTTCAGTAATATATTATCCCCTCTATATTATGAGGCCGGGGGTACTCCCTTGCTATATAGGTATGTGCGGCCCCAAAGGGTATGGTTTTTCAGCCGCCGGTTTTGGTCGTAAATAGGGTATGGTTTTTGCACTCTAGTCTTGAACTGGGTATGTTTTTTAGAAGAAGCTATACTTTTTCATCATCATCGATAGGACCATCAACAGAAGCCCTTCATAAATTATGTTTAGGGCAACTGTGCCGGCCGCAACGGTCATAAATACGATATCGAATTTTTGGTCAGGTCATAAATAGGGCAAGGGTTTTGGGAAGCGGGCCGCACACCCCCAACCACCACCTCCCAGATCATGAGATTAGTAACGAGTCTGTTTCATTTGGAATTGCCGTGGTGAGGATTTTCTCTTTTGTCATTTTAAAATTCTAAAATAGATCAGACTACTTACGCTCAACGATAGCCCCTTGCTTGATCCCTTCTGAATGGCCTTGACTGCCAGCTAATACACCAAGCTGAGTGATGAAACAAATACAACACATATCATATGACAAGACTGATCACCTTCACCTACAAAATTATTCTGCTTGAGCCTGCAGTGCAGCCTTTTTTTTGGTGGGAAAGCGTTAGATAATTTTGCATGTGAAAACGAGTGCCATTTTGGACTCGTAAAACTTAGAGAATACGAGAGGACGAGGGTCACTGCCATCCCCTAGATCACTTTCACAAGATAGCTCTCGCCCGTTCCTAAAATGTGCTCGCTCACTCAAAATACACCTGCATTGTGAAATAATTGCGCTGGTCACTAATAAAGTAATGTGTTCCAGTACAAAGTGAACTGCCCTTGAACCCTTGTGCTCATACTAATTGACTTTCACTACTCTTGATCTACTTTGTAGACAGCTATCTTATACAGAGCCTCTTAGTAGTACAACACGTGAGATTGGGAAATATCTGAAGTTCATGATTAGCAAAAACGGCCTTGAGGGCAACAAATAATGCGAATTTGTTTAGTGTGGAGCGAGGCAGCCAAACCAAATGCCTGGAAACGAAACTCAAACGTTATCATTAAGACACGTTTTTCTCAGCTAAAGTCACAATAACTCGACAATTCAAAATTACAGTAGAATGGTCTTTCTGTATAGTCTTCGATTCCCATTTTGGTAAAGGGGAGATCAAGATCTGACTGGAATACAGAATGGTTATCTGGACAGTTTATCACCCTGGATGTTTTGCAGTCATCAGCATATAACGACACAGTATTCCCAGGCATAACTACTTCAGGCAGGTCACTAATGAAAATTACAAAAAGCAAGGGACCCAATATAGAGCCCTGAGGTACGCCCATGGTACTCCATGTAGAACTCATTTCCTCTATAACAACTCTCAGCTCTTCGTTGGTGAGAAAGTCCCTAGTATGGATAGTGTGGAGAGATACCGAGAAAACAGCTGATTTTTTTTCCAGCAGAGTAACTGGTTCTTTACGTTGATTACACCAGTGGGTGCCACCATGTAGAAACCTCTCCACAGCATACGAAGTTCCCTGGTTGCTCCTGGTTGGTCGATGGTTCCAGTAAGAATTTTAAGGTCACTATTTTTTTTTTTAAATTTAGAAAGCCCTGACGAAGCATTAGAGGAGACACGATATCCGTATATTTACTAACCAAGATGATGGTGTTTGGGCGGATTCTGATTTTTGTGAAACGTAGCGGGTTTATGGTTTAGTGCAACAGGATGTGCCGCAAAGCGGCTCTATGTCAAGTTATGAGAAAAGCTAAAGCCAATTTGTGCTAATCCAAACAGGGGAGCTGCTGGGCTATGTTCTGAAGTTACATTTAGGAACATCGTAATCGGCTCTTATAAAGATCAGGCCGTGCTTTGCATGGGTGTGCAGGCTTGAAATCGAAAGTAATTGGACTTGGCTCTACTAGCGTATTGAGATGCGGAGAGTGCTGCTTGGTCATTTTAAAGCTACTAAGGCGGTTGGACATTACTTGAAATATGCGATAGCTTTTTTTTTTGAAAGAGCATTAGCATGTTAATGGTAGGTCTCTCAAACGACTAACCTTTTTGTTGACGATGACTTTGTGGTCTTTAACAGTTCCAGATGTCAGAGCGGTTGTCATTATCGCAGTTAGGTAGGCCATGACAGCAACGCCCATAAACATCCACACTACACTTAGAACACGGGCTAACAAGAACTTAGGGGCTTTATCTCCATACCTACATAGATTCAAATGAAATGAAACTTTTGGTCTCAAGTACAGGCGACATATTCTAGATTTTCCTTCGGAGAAAAAATTTCAGTGTACAGTCGAACCTTCCGTAAGCGACCACCCAAAATGTCAAGCCTAGGTGGTCGCTTATGAGAGCTTAGACCATGTTAGGTCAAAATTTTGCCTCATTAGCAAACTTTTAGCTCTAAAAGAGGTCACGGTCGATTACGAGAGGTGGTCGCTTACGAGAGATTCCAAATATAGTGATTTGACCAGGAAACTTTTGGTATTCTAGAAAACATGTCGCTGAGGAGAGGTGGTCGCAACCGGAGGTTCGACTGTAGTGCGAAGACCCGTATTGGCAAAACGTGATTCGCCCGTGGTTATATGAAAATAATCACCAGACTTTGGCAGGTTTGCCGGCAGCTTGGTTAATCATTTCCGTATTCTCTCTACGTACAACTTGCCTCCTTCATTGTTCAATTTCATGTACGTATACTTGCCTGAGTCGCCGATTATGGTCGAATGACAGGGGGCAAATCATGTTGGGCTGAAATTTTTCGTCCATGTGATCATAAAACACTGGCAAACTTGCTAGCCTGTTAGTTTTTTTATTCCCGCAATCTTACTATAGCTTGTCTCTATTTTTATTGATATCCACGAACACTGGTGAATCACATTTAGTACATTTTGAACACTGGTCTACGCAGTGTATTGAAATAGGCCGAAAACTGGTGATCTATCCTGCACGTAGATTCAGATCAATTTATAAGATCTTATGACCATTAAAATGTGTTAACCACGTTTCTGGAAGTCTATTTTCCAAGTATCGGGCTCGCCAAAGAACAAATTGCGAATAAAAATACACGTATATATATGCTACCAGCGGATCAGTTTTACATCTTTATTTATTTTTTTTAAACGCAATTAAAATAAAGTGTATGTGTGTGTTTGTGTGTGTAATAAAACTGTTTTATACACTACCGCGTTTAATAGGAGGTGAAGCATTCAAAACGCTCATTTGCATGGATTAAAACGATGCCTGTGATTCAACTGACTAAAGCCGATAAATTGACATAAAACAAGTAATGAACAGAAGCATATGTGGTTCGGATACCAACTTAGGGATCTGTTAATAGCCATGATAATCAAAGCGCTTTGTAAAGCATCTTGACTACATCGACTTACCCAACGGTTGTCATAGTGACGAATGCCCACCATATCCCTTCTAAAGAGCCACGACAGAAACTTGGTGGAAATTCCTTTGGGTTGGATCTAAAATCCTATCAACACCAACAAATTGCGAGCAAGTTACATATTTACCAATGTGTTAAGATCGTCAAAACAAAGACAATTAATTTTTTGGCACAAGGAGGAATAAATGTTAATATTCGAGCGGAGTCTTCAAAAACGTATCTTGGAAAGGTTCGTACTCTTTTAAGTTATCTGCTTATAGTCGAAGTCAGTTTACGAGTACTTTATACGAATCGAAATGCGAGACGTAAGTCTGTAAAAATTCTCTTGAAGTCAGCCCCATGGCTGTCTCTCATCACACCACATTTCGAGGTTTTTCGACTGTAAAACACCCCGACCATAGTTCAAATATCGTGACTCACCATCCCTCCCTTAACAAACTGTTTTCGATCCTATTAGCGCTTTCATTAGCTTTTTTATGAAGGGGGAATATTTTTCTCACATTATTATATCTTGGCCCATCTTCATAATAGACCATTTCCGAGTTGCCTGTGTCAAAACGAGTCTAAGTGCGGAACCACTCATATGGAAATGAGTTCCGGCTTCAAGGTCATTTTCATGCAAATCAAACTCATTTTCCTAAGCCGAAAGGTTTTGCACGTAGACTTGTTTTGAAACAGAGGCACAAGGAAACATTAGCAAGCGCTTACACAAGCGATGCGCCTTAGTAGGACAAAGACGAATTAAAGGAAAATGTGTCATCATACAGCATGCATAACTTGCTGCCAGATTGTCAAGTGAGATTTCAGCACAAAAGCTGGAAGTGAACAGCAAAAGGGAAGACGAACTACTAGGGAAGCGTGGATGTGTAGTAATGAACGAAAATGGAGAGGATGTGACATTTCTGCCGTGTAAACGGGCTGGTAGTGACAGGGTCGCTGTTCACAAAGATAGACTGATATAAACTACCAGATAGATCATGTAATGGTACGATGTGGCATGAGAACGTCATTCACTACTTGACCCACTACTTGGCGGATAAATTAGTCATAGGGAGAACGAAACAACAGACAAACCATGGATCAGACTCTAATTGAGAGCGCAGATCATAACGAACGAAAGAAAAGATGGAACGGCGGTTATAATTACAGGGACAGAGAGGTAAAGAGAAGCGCCCGAGTGGCCGGACACATCCATCAAACCAATATATATAGAAGACAGTGATGTGACACATGCAGTTAGACGAAATATAAGAGGTCCATCTAAGAATATGGTTTGCGAAGAAGAAAACAACTACACTGAAGAGAACGAAGTAGTAGGATATGACTTGAGAGCTGAGCTCCTATAGGCTGACTTAGAGGAAACATCCCAAAGGTGGTCGAAAATTGTTAACTTCCCGTGTGAGGAGAAAATGCCATCCGTCTAGAAGAAACGACTTCTTTGCAAGATTTTCAAGAAAGGCAATATGAGGGATTGAAACAACTGGAGAGGAATTACGTTGCTGTCAGTCATAAGTTAAGTCAGGCGCCCTGCTAAAGCAGGAACCCATGACCTGTTCACGTCTTTAAATCAGAATGCTGATAGAGAGGTAGCAAGTTTCGCAAAGAGCAAGCTTGATTCAGACCTTACAGGGGTACAAAGGAACAGATGATTATTTTGAGGAACAGCCTGAATGAAAATCATGGTCATCATGAAAAGTTATGGGATACCTGAGAAGATGATGAGGACAATCATGGAGATTTTTCAGGATTTAAAGTGTGCCGTTGTAGATGAGCGTGAGTGGTTCAAAATTAGAGTAGATGTTAAACAAGGATGTATTTTGTCGGGATTTCTATTCCTACTTGTTTTAGACTGGATAATTAGGAGAACAGCAGAAGACGAAGTGACAATCATATGCTGGAATTTCAGCACCTTCCTTGAAAACCTCGACTTCTATGAGTGATCTGAGTGAAAAGACAGGACGGAGAGGTTAAAGTATGAGGCGGCCAAAGTTGGGATGAGGCTTAATACCAGAAGGTGTAAGACGCTCAGGCGTAAGCAAGCTAGACTCTGAGGTGTCTCCGTATTAGAAACCTAGCTCATCAGCTGTGAGGTCAGACAGTTCACAGCTTAGCGTCACTTCTCGCACCGATGAACTTATTGAGTTGGTTATTGTTTGCGAAGGGGGTTTTTCCTAATTTTTTCATAACTAAACTCCGATCGCTCTCTGTTGTCTCCACAACCGTGCTTAACGTTTCTTAAATGGCATTAACTATTTTACCCTAAGATGTAGTTTGACTCACCAGTGCCCAGATTAGAATTCCAAATATTGCGTTTAAAAGAAGAGTAAGCACAAGCACCGTCCAGGTTTGGAAGAATTCATGTATAACATTCCATTTTGCCCCTTGTTCAAGGTGTGTTCGGTTCTTGGACACTGCTATACCCGGCGATGGAAAAAGTTCCTGGAAACGAGCTTTATTGTATGGATTTCTTTTAACGTGTTTACCAAGGACAGGAAAGACAAAGTCTATTTCATCAGACTTCATACATTCACTTAGTTCCGTGAAATTCATTGCTTCGCGGCTGTAGTTTAACGAATTGCTAGAGTTTATTCCGCAGCATCTGCAGCATTTATTGATTATGTCTTTAAATGCATCATGAAAAACGCCTGTCATGTTTCCTTCTTCGTCTTTCATGAGGTACGGCGGATAATCGACCCAACAAATAGAAAAGCTGCTAATCTGCTCACTTGCACATCCGTTCTGTGGCGCCTTCGTTGGGTTAATTGTCGTACCGATAGTCGAAGTGTAGTGACGGCCAACAGGCGAGGGGTTAATGACTGACGATGAAAGACCATTTTTTGATGAATAAACTGTGTTATGAGCAGAAACGGATACTGAAGTTGTTTGAACATCAGCTTCAACTAAGGACCAAAAGAAATAGGTAAGGGCTAACTGCAGCCTCGACATGATTTCGTAAGGTTTTGTGCTTGGAAACTATCCACGATCTTTCATTCTCTCTTGAAGTTTTTTCCTCTCAACTGCTTGGACGAACTTCAAGCGAAATGTGCTATCGACAAAAAGAATAATTTCATTGAATGTTAACTGTTGTGAGGGTTTTTTCATTTTAACCAGCTCAGTCTGTGTCAACAATTTCCTATTGGCTTAATTTGAGACTGTCAAATACGTTGCGCAAAAAATCCCTATTGAAAGTGCGCCAGTTCGTCTGTCACTTATTAATTTACGTGTGCAAACAGGCTCAGAGATAAGCCATTTTCAGAATACTAAAATTCTAACAAGGCGCTGAGACGAACGGACATAAAACAAAAAAATTAATAATATCGAGACTGAGAAATGAATAATTCGCTTGTTTCGAAAACGGTCCAAGTTATCTTTATCATTTTCCTAATTTTTCACAGGGCCTATCAGATAAGCAATTGTGTAGTAAAACACCTGCCTTGGTTTTAAAGACCATTGAATAATATTTTTGGTTGTTTAATCTGTGAAAGCAGCTGCAAAATATAATTACCAATAACATTTGGAACCTACAAGTGAAAACTTTATCTTGTGGCATATTATCGTATTCCAAAAGGGTTGATTTGATATCATGTGTTATGAGTAACTGAATCACTAATGGTGTGCGAAACAACTACTTCGAATAATATAACTGAACATAGCATTAACAGATTGATTGAGATTGCCCTACACTTTCTGGCGTTTGCGACAAAGCCTACCTTACAAGGACAAGTAATGATAAATTATACCACATACGCTATTTCTGGTTCCAAAACAGTGGAAGCCCTTGTCTGAAATCTGACAGTCAAAAGCTCGATAAACTATAAATGATAGAGCTCTAAGGTACATTTATAGTGGCCGATCGCCTACAAATGCTGGGGAATTAACTGAAAGAACTGGCTACACTCTAGCTGATCGACGTATACAAGATATGTTAATCTTAGCTTTTAAAGCTGTCAAAAACCTTGTTCCTACATATTTAAGTGACTTGTTTACTATTCGTGAGAACATTAAGAATCTAAGGGACACCAACAAGCT